ACACTACACTATACACTATTATACAATACACTACACTATACACTACACTACTATACACTACACTACTATACACTACACTACTATACACCACACTACTATACACTACACTATACACTATTATACACTATTATACACTACACTATACACTACACTACTATACACTACACTATACACTACACTATACACTACACTATACACTACTATATACTACACTACTATACACTACACTATACACTACACTACAATACACTACACTATACACTACACTACTATACACTACACTATACACTACACTATACACTACACTACTATACACTACACTACTATACACTACACTACTATACACCACACTACTATACACTACACTATACACTATTATACACTATTATACACTACACTATACACTACACTACTATACACTACACTATACACTACACTATACACTACACTATACACTACTATATACTACACTACTATACACTACACTATACACTACACTACAATACACTACACTATACACTACACTACTATACACTACACTATACACTACACTATACACTACACTACTATACACTACACTATACACTACACTATACACTACACTATACACTACACTACTATACACTACACTACGATACACTACACTATACACTACACTACTCTACACTATACACTACACTACTATACACTGCACTACTATACACTACTCTACACTATACACTACACTACTATACACTACACTACTATACACTACTATACACTACACTATACACTATTATACAATACACTACACTATACACTACACTACTATACACTACACTACTATAGACTATTATACACTATTATACAATACACTAAACAATACACTATTATACACTACACTACTATACGCTACACTATACACTACACTACTCTACACTATACACTACATACTACATTACTATACGTGATTATACACTACACTACTATACGCCATTATACACTACACTGCACACTACACTATACACTATTATACAATTCACTACACTATACACTACACTCCACACTCCACTATACACAACACACTCTACACTACACTACACACTACACTATTATACAATATACTACACTATACACTATTATACAATACACTGCCCTATACACTACACTATTATACAATATACTACACTATACACTATTATACAATACACTGCCCTATACACTACCCTACAGCAGTGGTTCTCAACCGGTGGTACGCGGACCCCTGGGTGATACACGTGGCAATATCCCACGGGGTGTACGTACGTGAAGTGATTTATAAACGCGTGCGAAATTATATCATAACATGAGAGTCATTGGTGAATAATCCCGTTGTGTGTATGATGAATCTGCCAGTCTAAAATCACTACGATCAAAATTTAAATCTGGCACGCTGAGCTAGAACGATATATCAAAGATAATTTTCTTCTTCTTGGTTCTTTCGGTAAAGTCACGTAGAAGGGAAATAATAAAATAATAAAAATAAAACATAATAATAAAATAAAATAATATATTTTATTTTATTAATAAAATAAAATAATATATTTTATTTTATTATATTTTATTAATAAAATAAAATAATATATTTTATTTTATTATGTTTTATTTGTATTATTTTATTACTTCCCTTCTACGTGACTTTACCGAAAGAACCAAGAAGATGAACCCCTGCAGTCACGAAAGCTTTAAATCGAAAGATACTTTTCTAAACTCATCAATCATCAAACAATGCTGCGGGCTTCCTAGAGTAGAAGCAGCCGGGGCCGGACAAACAATTACATCACACGCAGAGCGGCACCGTTAAATTCTGTTTTTTTTGCATTCGCTTGCAGTTACTTAGCCAAGTTAGGATATAACTTCACGTAACAAAAGGACAATTTGTTTAAAATATCGAGGTTCATTATTCGTAACATTTCTTTCCCAGGACCATGCTTGAGGGCTATCCAGGTAACATGGGGGGGGGGGGGGGGGGGTAATGGCTCGGTTGAGACAACATCCAACAAGGAGGGGGTAACATAGCAGCCAACACGAGGATGAGAACCGCTGGTCTACAGTGTCAAGGTGAAGGTAATTTGCTTCTCAGATGAGCGTTGAGGCTTCGGTAAAGTAAAACAAAAAACTTGCGTGAAAATTAAGAATAGGTTGTATTTACCCTTTCTGGCTATCCAACAGGTGGTGTGTTAAGGTGTTCAAACACTAAAATAGATCCATAATAAAAGTTTTTGGGTTAGATGGCGTAAATATAAATGTGTCGTTATACCCGGCCACCACCCGACACAGCCAATTAGTAAGGTTTGTCACGTTAACAGAACCTGCCAATTCGTTACTAGTACAGCACACCGGTGTGTTGGAAAGTAAACCCACGACAACATTTACAATTCGAGTACGACGTTTCGCCAGTAATTACAACAAGCATCATCAGGCGGCCAACTCTGGCTGTCCACAGGCTCACACAAACCCACAAACTCAGCCGGGGACCCACCGACTCACACAGAGACCCACAGACTCACACAGACACCCACGAACTCACACAGACACCCACAGACTCACACAGACACCCATAGACTCGCACAGAGACCCACAGACTCACACAGAGACCCACAGACTCACACAGACACCCACGAACTCACACAGACACCCACAGACTCACACAGAGACATACAGAATCACACAGACTCACACAGAGACCCACAGACTCACACAGAGACATACAGATTCACACAGACTCACACAGATTCACACAGACACCCACAGACTCACACAGACACCCACAAGACTTACACAGAGACCCACAGACGCACACATATGACCACAGGCTGATATGAGCGGGAGACTTCCCCTGCTACGTAACTGACCCAGTTTATTAAGTTACTTTTTTTTGCATACTCAACAAACTCCATAATATATTAAAATACGTATTTATAAATATTATATTTGCACATCTCGCTGTTGATTCTGGCCAGGCTTTCGAATCCATCATTTTTTTATTATTACTTTTATTATTATTACGACTTCACTCGGGGAGGAAAATTCCATTTGCGAGTGGAAGAGAAAAAAAAACACAAAAAAAGGAATTCGCCAACTCTGAACGTGGCGAGTATCAGAGCCAGAACGGCGAAGCCCTCGTTCGAGTGAAGTCGAAACTGTTGGGGCAGTGGGGAGCGGTGGCGCAGTGGTTAGCGCAGTGGCACGAACCTCACTTAGACAGGGAGAGAGACGCAGAAAGAGACACAGAGATAGAGACCGAGCAAGATACACAAAAGAGGGAGAGAGAGACAGAGACTTTTGACTTTTAAGCAACTTTTATTGCCGCCAGCAGCAACAGCACTGGAGGCGATTTCGATATGAAATACACAGTCACCAGCAAACAAATGAAAATAAACGCTACAAATCCACGCGCTGTGGCGCTAAAAGCACCGCGCACAACACGAAAGAAAAGCCACGTGGTTGTGGTGGTCATCGTGCACGCCACGGTGACGAGCGAGTGTTTCAGAAGGTGAACACGAGGGTGCCGTCCATGCTGGTACAGAGGGCTTGTCCGGCTGCCTAGCATTCAAAGAAGACGTGCACATCACCGGCACGTGTGTGGTACGCGTGCTCCAGCCGGAGCCGCGCCTTGAGCGGGCCCCTGAACACTGGAAGCACAGAGCAGCCGTCAGTGTCAGCTCAACAAAGCGGCTCATCGCATGGGAATGGAAATCAAGCAAGTCGCTCTGAACGCGTGATGTTCTTTCTAAATGTGTAGGGGAAAAACCGGGAGGACCCGGAGACAAATCCACGTGGCCACCACGGGGAGGGAAATAATAATAATTTTACAAATTTTACGTAGAAAACACAGGGGGAACATAGACATGGAGTAGGGAGAGAGGGGGCAGAGAGGGGGGTAGAGAAAGAGGGGAGGGGAAAAGAGAGCAGAGCGTAAAATATTTTGTGAAATCTTTCCTTTATAAAGGGGGGGGGGGTTACATAAATCAAAGCATAAAAAACAACTAAATGATGAACGAAGCAAAGTTCCGACTACACCGAGCATCTTCTTGTTTCCTCTGATCGTAAATAAAAAATAAAGAGACGGAGAGAGACGCAAACTCCATATACACAGCAGCAGGCATGCGTCAGGGTCGGGATCGAACCCATGCCCTCCAGTATAACAGGCGAGGTAGTAAACATCTCCTAGCCACCGAGGCGCCCTAACCTCAGCGCTGGTGGAAGACAAAGGCGGCCGGGCCGAGCGTGGTTTTGACCACACCCACTAACCCACTGGCGAACAGCACTTGCCCCGACAAGCCTTGTTGAAGGCTATACGGGGATCTTTATTTTTTTTGCCTGTGCGTGGTTTGTAGGGTGGGTGTTGTGTGATGTAACCAAGCGTACGAGGAGGAGTTTGGCTGTGCGTGTTGTATGAGAGGGCCTTTGTGTGGGGGGAGCGGTGGCGCAGCGATTAGCGCTGCGAACCCCCCTCGGCTACGAGCCGAGTTCGAGTCCCGATCACGGCCACCAACGCCAGTGATGGCGATTATGTGGACCGGTCCTGGGCCTCCCCTAGGTCGACTTAGACTCAAATACGTGCCTGGTGGTGCGTGATGTGTAGCAAACATCGCCACTGGGGAGACAAAGGCGGCCTGGCGTGGTGCTGGCCACCCACCCACTCGTGTGCCACAGTGCCGTCCTTCATAGGTGCTGCTACTCGCTACCAACAGCCACTTGCCCCAACAGTCTGTTGAAGCCTACACGGGGGAGCTTTGTCTTTGTGTCTGCTTGGACTCATTCCCACGACTGAGACTTGGCAGAAACGCAGTCTCACACAGTGAGGTTGCAGGATGTGGTGGTGATGGTTGTGATGATGATTGTGGTGGTGATGATGATGATGGTGATGATGCTGCTGACACGGCGATGATGCTGATGATTCCGTTATAGCCCAAACCTGCATCCTATTGCATTCACAACTGATGTCGTCCCGTCTCCCCGTACCGTCTCGCACCTAGGTTGACTCAGTGACAAATCAGAATGAAGCTGTGGATCTTCCTCTGCATGGGGCTCGTCGGGACAGCTCTGGCCTTGCCCGTGAGTACCTCGGTTAAACTCCTGGCCTGTGTGTTCATGAGAGTCTGTGGTCTCCGTGTGAGTCTGTGTGTCTCTGTGTGACTCTGTGGGCAGTGCTGAGTCTATGGGCAGTGTTGAGTCTATGGTGTTCGTGTTGAGTCTATGGGCAGTGTTGAGTCTATGGTGCAGTTTTGAATCTGTGGGCAGTGTTGGGTGTAAGTGCTGAATTACAATTCCAGCCAGCCCTGATGTTGAACTCTGCCCTGGACGTGTGACAGGAGAGTTACCTGGAGAGTGCTTTGGAAGCCGATGGCGAGGTCGTTGAGGAATTGCCAGTAAGTAGCAACTAATTCGCATAATACACGCATACATTAGCATAATGAATCCATACATTATAATCAATGCGATCGATTTTCAGCTTGGTTTCATGTATGGATTGGTGACGCTCACCCACTCAGTCACCCACCCAACCACTCACACAGTCACTGACCCAGTCACTCAAGCATCCACCCAGTCACGCAATCACTCACTCATGCACCCAACCACTCACTCACCTGTTCACTCACCCACCCAACCACTCACACAGTCACTCACCGAGTCACTCACCCAATCACTCACTCATTCACTCACTCATTCACACGGTCATGCAATCACTCACTCATCCACCCAACCACTCACTCACCTATCCATTCACCCACCCGCTCACTCACCCGCGTACCCACCCACCCACTCTCATACCCACTCACCCACCCACTCACACACTCATCCACCCACTCACCCACTCATTCACTGACCTACTCACTCAATGCGACCCATGAACATATTTCGTTTTTGGGCCCCACCCACCACCAATACTTTCAAGTCAACCAATGGCAATGCTGGCTTTATGACTAAATAACATAATTCATGATTGCCCCCCATTCATCCCGCCCGCTCTCAGATGGAAGGAGGCAATCCCGTGGAGGAGGAGGTGGAGTTTGAGGATGAGTCGTGGGCGGAGGGGAAGGAGGAGACCAGAGATGGTAGGGAGTCACATATCGGAGATGTTAACTACCTCACCTGGTCTACAGGAGGTCGTGGGTTCGATCCCGACCCGGATGATGCCTGCTGCTGTATATTGGGAGTCTGCGTTTCTCTTTCTCTCTCCCCGTTATGGTCACTGCGTGGATTTTTGTCCGAGTCCTCCAGTTTCCCCCCCTGCCCCCCTCCACATTTAGAATCAACAGCACGCATTTAGAGTGATTTGCATAACCAGGCGAGGTAGTTAATAACATCTCCTAGCCACCGGGGCAAGTTGTTGACGGATACGAAATTGTGCACGTTTCTTGAATTAATGATAATCCGCATCCCCCTGTTTGTCGTGGTGCTAATGGTGTGGTCCGAATTCTCGCCCCCACAGACGCCTCTGGGCCGTGTGGGTCGTACCACTGCAAGGAGGGGAAGGTGTGCGAGGTGGACGAAACCAACCAGCCCCTGTGCATCTGCCAAGACCCCTCGACGTGCCCCAAGGTTATCAACGATTTTGAAAAGGTTCGTGTCAGTCGGGTTCACGATGGCCGTGTGGGTGGGTGGGTTCACGATAACTATGTGGGTGGGTGGGGTTCAGGATGACCATGTGGGTGGGTGAGGTTCACAATGGCCATGTCGGTGAGTTGGTTCACGATGACCATGTGGGTGGGTGGGGTTCACGATGGCCGTGTGGGTGGGTGGGTTCACGATGGCCGTGTCAGTGGGTGGGATTCACAATGGCTGTGTCGGTGGGTGGGGTTCACGATGGCCGTGTGGGTGGGTGGGATTCACAATGGCTGTGTCGGTGGGTGGGGTTCACGATGGCCGTGTGGGTGGGTGGGGTTCACGATGGCCGTGTTGGTGGGTGGGGTTCAAAATGGCCGTGTTTGTGGGTGGGGTTCACGATGGCCGTGTGGGTGGGTTCACGATGGCCGTGTCAGTGGGTGGGATTCACAATGGCCGTGTAGGTAGGTGGGTTCACGATGACCGTGTGGGTGGGTGGGTTCACGATGGCTGTGTCTGTGGGTGGGTAGGTTCACGTTGGCCATGTCGGTGGGTGGGGTTCACGATGATCATGTGGGTGGGTGGGGTTCACGATTGCCGTGTTGGTGGGTGGGTTCACGATTGCCGTGTTGGTGGGTGGGTTCACGATGGCCGTGTCTGTGGGTGGGTTCACGATGGCCGTGTCGGTGGGTGGGGTTCACGATTGCCATGTTGGTGTGTGGGGTGCACGATGGCCGTGTGGGTGGGTGGGTTCACGATGGCCATGTTGGTGGGTGGGGTTCACGATGGCCATGTGGGTAGGTATGTTCAAGATGGCCGTGTCGGTGGGGTTCACGATAGCCGTGTCTGGTAGGTGGGTTCACGATGGCCGTGTCAGTGAGGGGCACGATGGCCATTACGGTGGAGAGACAAAGGCGGCCGGGCGGGCGTGGTGCCGGCCACCCATCCACCCCCAATTGTGTGCCAATGCTGTTAATGGCGAGCAGTGCCGCTGCTCGCCGTTAACAGCACTGGCACCGGCAGGTCTTGGCTGAGGCTACACGTGGGGCACCCTTTATCTGCTGCGCGTGCGCAGGTGTGCGGCACCGACAACACCACCTACGGAAGCAGCTGCCACTTCCACGCTCACAAGTGCTCCCTGGAGGGCACCAAGAAGGGACGCAAACTGCACCTCGACTACCTGGGGCCCTGCAAGGGTAAGAACGGCGACAGGAGCAGCTTCTTCAGCATCATCAGCAGCATCGGCAGCTTCAGCAGCAGCAGTATCAGCAAAATCGTCAGCATCATCAGCATCATCGTCATCATCATCAACATCATCGTCATCATCAGCAGCAGCTTCAGCAGTAGTGGCTGAAACAGCAGCATCAGTATCAGCAAAATAGTCAGCATCATCATCAGCAGCAGCATCATCATGTGTTTGTAGTCCATCCCCAACACCTCCGATTAGCATGGTTGGCTACATATGGTGCAAAAGAAGTTCAACATACATACAAAGCGACCCACAGACACCCAGATCCATAGAGATCCACAGAGACCCACAGAAACACCCAGAGACCTACAGAGATCCACAAATTCCCACGTTTGGCTACTGACGGTGTGAAAGAAATAAAAAATACATCATCAGCTTCAGCAGCAGCATCATTATCATCAGCAGCATCAGAAGCATCATCATCATTGCGTGTTTAGTTTGTTGTCCTTCCCCAGAACCTCCGATTAGCACGGCTGCCTATGTACGGTGCGACAACAGTTCAAAATACATACATCATCACCTGCAGAATCATCAGCAGTATCAACATCATCAGCAGGATCAGCAGCATCAGCAGCATCAGCAGCATCATCATCATCATCATCAGCGTAGCATGTTTCGTTTGTTGTCCTTCCCCCGCACCTCCGATTAGCACGAGTTGTGTGAAGGAAGTTCAATATTGTACACACATACAAAGCGACCCACAGACATCCAGACCCATAGAGACCCATAGAAGACCCACAGATACACAATATGTAGAGACCTACAGAGATCCACAAATTACCACGATTCACTACGTACGGTGTTATAAAAGAAGTTCAACATTGTACGCACATACACAGAATCCTCACGGCTTCATACTCGTTGCATTTTGGATTGAGACGAAACATCTAAGTTTGGTCAACATGCTCACAGAGTGCTTGCCCTTAAAGTCTGTCAAAGCCTACACGGGGCACCTTTGCCTTTGGGTGAGTGTATGTGTGTATATCTGTACGTAGTGGGGAGCGGTAGTGTAGTGGTTAGCACGGCTATCGTGCTGCACTACGGACCTGGCGACCCGGGTTCGATTCCCGCTCACGGCAAACACCAGTGACGATTATCTGAACCGGTCCTGGGCCTCCCCTAGGTCGACTCAGCCTCAAATGAGTACCTGGTGCGGTGTGTAAACATCGCCACTAGGGAGACAAAGGCGGTCGGGCGTGGTGCTGGCCACCCACCCCCTCGTGTACCGTTCCGGCCTTCATAGGTGCTCGCTCACTTGCCCCTACAGTCTGTTAAGGCTATACGGGGGATCTTTATATCTGTACGTGCAACTGGCAAGACAAATGTGGCCGGGCGTGGTGTTGGCCACCCACCCCCTCGTCTGCCTTGCCGGCCTTCCTAGATGCTGCTCGCTAACAGCACTTGCCCCAACAGTCTGTTAAGGCAACACGGGCGATCTTTGTTTGTCTTATTTGGCATGTGTGGGGGGTGAGTGAGCGGGTGGGTGAGTGGATGATGTATTTGCCTGCCTCAAATATTGAAAGAAGTAGACACCCTCTGTGAGAGGCTGGCTGAGGTTCCATTTGTTGAGGAAGTACAGATGGCGATCCAGAGTCTGAGACCAGTAAAAGCATCTGGCAGAGATGATCTCCCAAGCAAAATGCTGATGGAGGGTGGTGATTGTGAGTAGAATGCACTACACGACATCATAACAACAGTCTGGACCACTGGACGGGTTCCGCAGGATTTGAAGGATGCCCTGGTGGTCCCCCTCTTTAAGCAGGGGGACCACGTAGATTGTTACAACTACAGGTGCATCTCACTCCTCAGTGTGCCGGGAAAGGTCCTGGCAAGGATTATTCAACATCGCTTTGCTAGGCACGCTGAGGAGAGGCTTGTGTAGCCTCAATGTGGTTTAAGGAAAGGGCGGTCCTGCACAGATGCCATATTTTCTGTCTGTCTGTTACAGCAGAGGTGTAGGGAATTCCAACAGGACCTACATCTCTGCTTTATTGACCTGGTCAAGGCCTATGATACCATCAGTAGGCCTGAGCGCTGGGTTGTTCTTCGTGTTTTCGGAGTCCCTGACTCTCTGCTCACAATCATTAAGGACCTTCATAATGGTGACCAGGTCTGGGTAAAACTACGTGGCTGGGATTCGGAGCCATTCTCTGTTCACCTTGGGATGCGACAGGGCTGTCCTCTGGCTCCCACATTATTTAACATCTATTTCGACTACGTAGTTCGTGAAGCCTTTGATGCCTGTACCGGAGGAATTTCCATCTGGTACAGATACAATTGGAGGCTGATCGATGCCCGGGTGCGGTAAAGGGATGGCTCCCTATTAGTCAACCAAGTTACGTATGCCGATGATCTGGTGATTGCTGCTCACTCAAAGGAGGAGTTGGAGGCGCTGCTGCTGAACCTGGAGTGTGCCACTAAGAGTTGGGGCCTTACCATCAGCCCCACCAAAACTAAGCACCTGCCTGTACCATTAGATACTCCACCCCCACAACTCCCAACCGGTGATTGGGTAGTTGTGGAGAGAGTGGAGGGTTTTCCATACCTGGGCAGTGTACTCATGACCGGCTCCAGTTTGACAGCAGCAGAGGTCTCAATCCGAATCAGTCAAGTGGCATTATCTTTTCATCGGCCTTGTAACGCTGTGTGGAAGCTACATGGTCTGTCACTCGACACGAGGCTTTGGGTCTTCTCGGCCAAGTCCATGCCCTCCCTTCTTTATGCTTGCGAAATGTGGACCCCGCTCATGGAACATCTTCGCTGGTTAGAAACATAAGGGCTGGCCTGCCTACAAACTTTACTGGGTGTATCCAGGCTGGATTGTGTGAGGAGCTCAGAAATCCTTGAAGTATATGGAAAAAGTCCCATCGGTAAGCTACTCCGACAGGCAAGGCTGAGTTGGCTTGGTCATGTAGCCCACATTACCACCCACCACATGCCTAAATGGATTTTGTTCGGCTGGATACAGAGGGCTAAACGGACGGGGCACGGGCTAGAGAAGAGAAGGAGTGATGTGGAACAAGAGGACGTGGAGCTGAGTGGACGTGCCGATAACTGGTACCAGCGGTGTCAGGATCGACCTCTGTGGAGAAGGAGGCTCGTGATGGACGCTGCTACCGGGCAGTTGGAGGTTGTCGCCCTCCAGAAATAACGGACGGCACAGGAGCAACGCTCACAACAACGATCAGAGCACCGGGCGGCTAAAACGCAGCAAGTTGGGAAACTAGGAGGCACAGGTGGTGCATCGGCCAGTGATCTCAGTCAGTCGACCCGTGGCACCTGCTGGGTCTGCCCCGTGACCTCCTGCCAGCGGGCATTTGACACTTTGCGTGGCCTCAACATGCATGTAGCCTGGCACAAGCGCCGTGGTGACATCACCACTACTAAGTGTCAAATGGTGGTGGTTGTTGTGTGGGGGTGAATGAGTGAGTGGGTGACCGCGTGATGTATCTGTCTGTGTGTCTGTCTGTGTCTGTGCGTACAGAGATCACCCCTTGTGATGATGCGGAGCTGTCCGAGTTCCCACTGCGCATGCGCGACTGGCTCAAGAACGTCCTCGTGCAGACCTACAACAACAACCCCTCCCAGCTCACCGACAAGCAGCAGAGCCGGGTACTGTATAGTGTAGTGTATATTGTAGTGTATAGTGGTGTATTTTATAGTAGTGTAATGTATAATGTAGTGTACAGAGTAGTGTATAGTGTAGTGTATAATAGTGTATAGTGTAGTGTATAGTAGTGTATAATGTAGTGTACAGAGTTGTGTATAGTGTAGTGTATAGTAGTGTAGTGTATAGTGTAGTGTATAGTAGTGTAGTGTATAGTAGTGTATAATGTAGTGTACAGAGTCGTGTATAGTGTAGTGTATGGTCGTGTAGTATATAGTAGTGTATAGTGGTGTCGTCTATAGTAGTGTAATGTATAATGTAGTATACAGAGTAGTGAATAGTGTCGTGTATAGTAGTGTATAGTGTTATATATAGTAGTGTATAGTGGTGTAGTGTATAGTAGTGTAGTGTATAGTAGTGTAGTGTATAATGCAGTGTATAGAGTAGTGCATATTGTAGTTTATAGTAGTGTAGTGTATAGTAGTGCAGTTTACAGTAGTATAATGTATAATAGTGTATTGTATAATACTGTATAGTATTATATATTAGTGTATAGTATTGTAGTGTATAGTAGTCTAGTGTATAGTATTGTAGTGTATAGTAGTGTAGTGTATAGTAGTGTAGTGTATAGTGTAGTGTATAGTAGTGTGGTGTATAGTAGTGTATTGTATAGTAGTGTAGTGTATAGTAGTGTAGTGTATATTGTAGTGTATAGTAGTGTAGTGTATATTATAGTGTATTGTAGTGTATAGTAGTGTATTGTATAGTATTGTAGTGTATAGTAGTGTATAGTATTATATATTAGTGTATAATGTACTGTATAGTAGTGTATAGTATTGTTGTGTATGGTAGTGTGGTGTAATGTATCGTAGTGTAGTGTAGCTGGTGCAGACCTACAGCAGCAGCCGCTCCCAGCTCTTGCGAACAATCCACTAACAAGGCTCCTGCGACGTTGGAGGAACCACCAACGCACATGGCCGTCTATGACGTCTCTTTCTCTGTCTGTCTCTCCGTCTCTGACTCCCATCTCTCATCTTGTCGGTGAGCAGGTGAAGAAGATGGTCGAGAACGAGAAGCGTCTGGAGTCCGGAGACCACTCGGTGGAGATCCTGCGGCGGGACTTCGTGAAGAACTACAAGATGTTTGTCTACCCCGTGCACTGGCAGTTCGCTCAGCTCGACAGCACTCTGGGAGACCAGTGAGTGTGTGTGTGAGTGGGTGAGGGTGTGAGGGTGAGTGGATGAATGTGTGTGTGTGTGAGTGGGTGAGTGTGTGAGTGCGCATGAGTGGGTGAGTGTGTGAGTGGGTTAGTGTGAGGGTGAGTGGGTGGGTGAGTGTCTGAGTGTGTGTGAGTGAGTGTGTGTGTGTGTGAGTGGGTGAGTGTATGAGGGTGAGTGAGTGTGTGAGTGTATGTGTGAGTGTGAGTGAATGGGTGAGTGTGTGAGTGTGTTTGTGAGTGGGTGAGTGTGTAAGGGTGAGTGAGTGTGTTAGTGTCTGAGTGGGTGAGTGTGTTTGAGTTAGTGTGAATGAGTGGGTGTGTGTGATGCATCGGCCACTCATCTCAGTCAGTCGACCCGTGGCACCTGGGTCTGCCCTGTGACCTCCTGTCAGCGGGCGTTCGACACTTCACCTGGCCTCAACGTCCACATAGCCTGGCACAAGTGCCGTGGTGATGTCACCGCCACTTAGTGGCGAATGGCGATTGTTGTTGTTGTTGATGTACACTCGTGTGTGAGTGTGTAAATCGCCTTCATAGGTGCTCGCTAACAGCACCTGCCCCTACAGTCTGTTAAGGCTATACGGGGGATATTTGTATTTGTCTTTGTAAATCACCACCGCCACTATCATCACCACCACCACTATCATCAGCACCATCACCACCACCATCACAACCATCATCACCACCACTACCACCAATATCATCACTACCATCATTATCACCATCACCAGCACACGACGAGCATCACCACCTGCGCCCGCTGACTCTCCGCTGACTCTCCACACCCTCAGGTACCTCTCCCACTCGGAGCTGGCCCCACTGAGGGCCCCGCTGGTACCCATGGAGCACTGCACCACGCGCTTCTTCCTGTCGTGCGACGCCGACTCGGACGCCTACGTCTCCCTCTCGGAGTGGGCTGCGTGCTTCGGAGTCAAGCCCGGTACGGTGGCGGCGGCGGCAGTGGTGGTGGCCGCGGGTGATGGTGGTGGTGGTGGCGATGGTGGTGGTAGTGGTGATGGTGGTGGCGATGGTGGTGGTAGTGATGGTGGTGGCGATGGTGGTGGTGGTGGTAGTGATGGTGGTGGCGATGGTGGTGGTGGTAGTGGTAGTGGTGATGGTGGTGGTGGTGGTGATAGTGGTAGTGGTGATGGTGGTGGTGGCGATGGTCATGGTGGGGGTGGCAGTGGTGGTGGCGATGGTGGGCATGGCGGTGGTGGTGGTGGTGGTAGTGGTGATGATGGTGGTGGCGATGGTGTTGGTGATGATGATAGTCCATCTGCTACAGCAGGGGTGTAGGGAATTCCAACAGGAATTACATCTCTACTTTATTGACCTGGTCAAGGCCTATGAAACCATCAGTAGGCCTGGGCTCTGGGTTGTTCTTCGTGTATTCGGAGTCCCTGACCCTCTGCTTACGATCATTAAGGACCATCATGATGGTGAGCCTGCCCGGGTAAAACTACGTGGCTTGGAGTTGGAGCCATTCCCTGTTCACCTTGGAGTGCAACAGGGATGTCCTCTGGTTCCCACATAATTTAATATATTTTTCGACTACGTAGTTCGTGAAGCCTTCGATGGCTGTACCGGAGGAATCTCCATCTGATACAGATATAATGGGAGGCTGATCGATGCCCAGGTGTGGTCCAGGGATAGCTCCCTATTGGTCAACCATGTTACGTATGCCGATGATCTCGTAATTGCTGCTCACTCTGAGGAGGAGTTACAGGCGCTGCTGGTAGACCTGGAGCGTGCCACTAAGAGGTGGGGTCTTACCATTAGCCCCTCCAAAATTAAGCACCTGCCTGGGTATGTTGTGTCATTAAAGACTACACTCCCTCAACTCTCCTTTGGTGGGGTTGTTGTGGAGAGAGTGGAAAGTTTTCTATATGTGAGCAGTGTGCTCATGACCAGCTCCGGTTTGACAACAGAGGTCTCACTCCATATCAGTCGAGTGGCTGCGTAACGCTGTTTGGAAGCTGCCTGGTCTGTCGCTCCACACGAAGCACAGGTCTTCTCAGCCACAGTCATGCCCTCCCTTATCTACGCTTGTGAAACGTGGACCTCCTAATGGAACATCTTCGTAAGTTAGAAACATTCAAGCTGGCCTGCCTACGATCCATCCTGGATTTAACCAGGCTGGATTGTGTGAGGAGCTCATAAATCCTGGTAATATCTGGACAAAGTCCCATCGGTGAGTTCCTGCAGCAGGCAAGACTGCGTTGGCTGGGTCATGTAGCCCGCATTCCCAGCCACCACATGCCTAAACAACTTTTGTTTGGCCGGATAGAGGGGGGCTCATTGGGCGTGGCACAAACTAGAGAGGAGATGGAGTGATGGTGTACAGGAGGATGTGGAGCTGAGTGGACTTGCCAATGACTGGTACCAGCAGTGTCAAGATCGGCCTCTGTGGAAGAGGCTCGTAAAGGACGCTACCGGGCAGTTGGAGGCAGTCGCCCTTGTTGTATATGTTGGGTATGAAAATTTGTTATGTTGTATGCGTGCGTGGGTGAAATTATTATGTTGTATATGTGGGTTATGAATATTCAGTGGAAATAATAATAATTAAATGAAATTTGGCCAAATATGTAATTATCCGGAAATATGTTAATTTATGTAATTACGCACATTTTAATTATGCCAATTCGAGAGGTAATCGTATTAATTATGCGAGTGGGTGTAATTATGATAACGCAAGTCGTTATGATAACCAGACCCCGGTTCACCCCGTTATCGCTTTAACATTTACTGAGTATGTATTAGTGTGTTTATTAAGGTCACCAAGTTCAAATCTCAACGCAGAAGCAGATCTTATGCATAGATTTCAGGAAAGAATCACACAACCACTTCTGTATTGATCAATTTATTACTAATTCAACCTTAACTATGATATAGTATGCGAACTCTCAATCCCGGAACGTCAATACGGCATCAATACAGTATCATCAACGATTGTCGGATTTCACTTCGACAACTGCACATGGATCCCGCATAACGCGATGGTTGTTAGTGAGAGAGAGAGTCGTTAAAACGTGCAAATACTATGCTAAGAAAACCTTAACGTTAATAAATGATTATACTCAATATTGTTCACGCAGTACCGCACTCCTTATTGATCATACGCAACCCTTATCACGTTGTTAACACCTTGGGTCACGGAACAGTTGAATATTCTGTAGAGGATGCGAGTACGTGCGGCGATTATGACTGAAAGATACTTGAAAGATTATACGGCGATAAAAAAAAAAACACAATCAAAACAGTTACTATTCTTAAAGGCACCAATCTCAACAGATACATCGGCAGGTTATCTGACAGCAGAACGGCTCGGAGTAAGGGCCTGCGACGGTGCTCCTTTTCCGAAGATCGTTATCTTATACCAAGTTTACTAATTGGGGACCAGATCACCTGATAAGGATCCGGTGGCCACCACTCCCCACGTGAGCGTGGCTCGGCGGAAGGAGGTGCCAAGAATCAGTTCGTATTGATGGATCTGTTGGGAATTTATGCGATTAAGAGTACAGCCCACTAAATATTAAAGATAAAAATTAAGAATACTCTTATACGACGGAGGCCACCACTCGGTCTCGTTGTGATGCCTTCCCAGCCACGGATGACTTATGGGTTCGAGTGTGTTTGAGTGGTAAGAGTTGTCTTGAATAGTCAGTGTTCGGAGTCGATTCTTTATGTCAAACAGACGCCTGGTGGTCGTGTGGTGAGGGGGCGGTGCGCGTCATACGTATCAGGCGCTCTCCTGTCACCGTGGTGAATTGCTCGGATGGCTGTTGATACGCTGTCGCAGTTCGGAACCCGGTCGGTAGGTGGCGCCCACAACTCGCTCGTAGCGTGCAGCGCTGGATCGTCGCCAAGTCGCGACGCTCACCACCGGCGGCAGCGGAGATCTCCGGCGGCAGCAGAGATTGACGAGCTGAAGATGAGTCGAGCCGACCCGCTGGTCGCAGCTCGCTCCTGAGTCGACCCTCCCGGTCGAGCTCGCTCCTGGGTCGACCCGCTGGTCGCCCTCGCTCCTGAGTCGACTCTCTGGTCGCACTCCTGAGTGGACCCGCTCTGGTCGCACTCGTTCCTGAGTCGACCCTCCCGGTCGAGCTTCTGAGTGGACCCTCCCGTCGCACTGGTTTCCAATGTTCAGGATCCGTTCCTTTATGCTGAAAAATCCCCCTGGATCCCGCCCACAAGGCGGGGCTTCCGATTTTTGCTGTGTCAGGATCTGTCCGTAGGCAGGTGTGTCCATGTGTGTGTCCGTATGTCCTTGTGTGCATCACTGACGGTATATTCCGTTGTCAACTCCCTCTATAAAACCCACGAGCAAACAACCAGATGTTACAAATTGTCTCGAAGTCGTCTCTCTGTCTGGGTGCAATTTATCTCTTGTCTGGCCTTCTTCATGAACCCAAAACACAGACGTTACAAATCGTCTCATAGGCGTCTTTGTTCGTGTTGCACAACCTGGAGGGGGGCAACACTCTCTCCGACCCGGCGCACAAAGAAATGGTTAAAAGTTTTAAGTTAACATTTGTCCCTTACTATTTCACAGTTATGATTCTGTATGTAACCTAAGGTCTGTCGTTTCCCATCGTGGTTCCCGACCCACGTGTAGGTGTTTCCCCGAGCGTACACACACTCCTATCCCGCGCTGCGGGGATACAAAGACGGTCGGGATCTCCCTTTCTCTCCGACCCTGGGTTTAACATCGTTTTTTTTTTTTATTATGTATTTATATTCGACCTGGTGGTGATTCATCCCGTTATCCTGGCTTTTCCATAAGTTTTACTTTTGTCTTTCATGCATATACTTATTACTATTAATTTATTCCCGATATCTTAGGTAAGGGGTAAGTTTCTTGATCCTAGGAATTCGTATTCCTTGGTGCCTGGATGGTTATATAAGCGGAATATAGTTTACGGTGAATAGCGTTAACATTGATGTTATGTGCGATATTATGTATTGTGATGTCTTTAACTTAACTTGTTTGTCAGGGCTTTACTGACACGAAGTTGCATTCCATAGCCCGCAGTCTTTGCCCCACCCTATCTCTGCTCGCCGTTGTTGTTGCCTGCCGTTAATTCAAGGCCTCATTAATTTCCGTCACTCCTGAGTAGGTGAGGGCGGTTGAACCTTGGAGTCAGTTCTGGTTTTTGTCTGCCTGCTTCTTCTTGTATCCCCTGACCCCGGGAGTTATTATTCTACTTTATGGCCTGTCGAAGCCCCACTCGCTGTTGCTGGGCTGGTGTTGTTCCCGGCTTTTTGCTTACGTTTGCAGTTCGCCGTGCTCTTAATTTCCTTCCCTCGTCAACCTTATATCGACTATTCGCTCCTGTCTGGGTGCGATTCAATTTTGACTTAGGAAGGTTCTGATTGTCATATGCTTCGGGTCGAGTTGTATAGAAAGTATTGAAGTATGGAAATAGCATTTCATATTGACTTAATGATGGTGATGGTTCAGTAGGCGTAACTTGTGACCTGGTTTAATTGGAGTGGGTGTGAATATCAATAACTTTAGCCTACTCTGTTGTTAAATTCCGACTTTAACGTTACTTTAATAGCAATACAGAATAATTGAGCTTTTTGTCTTAACTAGGCGAATGCGAACTTCTGGTGACCCCCGCAGCCGTGTTGTTCAGCTGGGTCTTGTGCCTTGAGAGATATACAACCCTCTTTTAAATCACCTCTCCCCCTGTCCACCTTCTGCTCTGGGAGTGTTTATTCTTGATTCCAGGTCCAAGGCCCCCTCACGTCCAGACGCGCAGGGTTGTTTACATCAGCTCCCCCCCTGTGCACGTGTTCTAACTAGCTCGGAATTCCTGAACACACAATCAGTGATGATTCCTGGCTTTCTGTGGTTGTGATTTAGACAAAGGCGCCTCTGTTTCTTCCATTGCCTTTGAGTCGACACTGCCCTATTATTTGCCCATGTGCTGAGGT